GACATTTCAAAAGAGAGACTACCTTCACCTAAGAATCTTGGGCGCGCCGCCTGTAAGCTCTGAGGGAGAGGGAAGCCCCTAATTGAGACTACGTCAAAACATATGACACTACAAATATGACCTACAATAGCAATTTTGATAATGACCGACATTTCAAAAGAGAAACTACCTTCACCTCAGAATCTTGGGCGCCCTGCCAGTAAGCTCTGAGGAAGAAGGTAGGCAAATAATTAATTTGGCCTATGTCAAAAACATATTAAATGACGCTACAAAAATAACCTACAATAATAATTTGGATGATGACTGGCATTTTAAAAGAGCGACTACCATCACCTCAGAATCCTAAGATCGCCGCTAGTAAGCTCTGAGGGAGAGGGCAGCATCATAATTTGGCTTATGTCAAAAACAAATGACAGTACAAAAGAAACCTACAATAATAATTTAGACAATGACCGACATTTTAAAAGATAGACTACCTTCACCTCAGAATCTTAGGCGCGCCGCCTGTAAGCTCTGAGGGAGAGGGAAGCCCCATAATTTGGCCTATGTAGAAAACAAGTAACACTACAAAGATAACCTGTGGTAATAATTTTGGATTATGATTGACCTTTCAATAAGACTGAAAAGACTGATATAGAGACATATCTATCTGCAACGTTGACTGTACAGATTGCCCAAGCGAACACGAAGATGTTTAAGTAGAAGAATATCTGGAGTAAGCCAGTGTAATGGGCTCCTGCCAGCGAAGAAAATTTTGGCGGGATTTCGACAGTGCTTGGCGGGGTGTTTGGAGAGTGATTTGTCACTGCAGGCAGATCGACACTTACATCGTCCTAAGCCATAGAAAAACGACTTGAATCCTTCGCCGATTGATCAGAAAGGTCGTCCAGTAAATCAGATGATCGGTCTTACTGTTCTTTAAGGAGATGTGAAGTAGAGTTCGAGCTCTTGCATTTGTTTACATCGGTGACTATAAAAGCTAAATTGTTGACGGCCTTTCTCAAACGTTCAAATAGAGAAGATTTAAAAGAATTCTTCTGTCAGGGTCTTTTCCACGCAGATCTAGAGTTCCTGCCAACCTGAGAAAGCTGTGCCAGCAGAGAGTGTATAATTCGTACTTGTGACTCCTCGGTAAAAACTACGCTGACTCGACGTTTTCGCCTCAAAGGTCACCAATGTTGACGCGGCATACTACTCTTGAAAGATGTTAAATAAGCCATTGGAGCACATATTTTCTTCAAAGAAACCACTTAAAAAACCATTGAAAGCGTATCAAGCCTATTTGAATCCAAATGCGGCGAGAAAACTGTAGTTATCAATTGCAGAGCCAGTCGCGAAGATCGAATTCCCAATTTTCGATCGACCGTGAAATGAATTTATATTACGCGAATAGTCTGATCCAATTTCGCTTCTCCTTGAGATGTCTGGTTCTTTTAACCAGAAGTACAAAGTTCCTTGACAGGCAATGCGTCCGGCGCCCTCTAAAGGTGTCTGGAGGACTGCTTAAAACTAATTACGAAAGTAAACGTCTGTCTGTCATTAGAAACCGATTTGCAGTGGTAGCTGTGGAGATTAGGCCTCCTCGGACTCGCATTTAAATCGGGCCTCTGGCTTATGGTTGCGTTCGAGGTACGAGAACGCAACCCCCAATTTGTGTTGGGTGTTCTGTGCATTATGGGGTGTCCTATGCAATTAATAAGGGAGGTTTTTTTCCAGATTGCATTTGTCGTCGACACACATTTGCCTCGCTTTGAGGCGCTTGCTTACGTTTTGCATCACTTTGATGAACTAACTCACGTGGTGATTCGTGCGTCCTCGGCGTTCATCATTCAAGCGTTTGCTGAGGTCTTGTATTCTGTCTTCGTAAAGCGCTCATCTTTTAAAAGTTTGCCGAATCTTCGTAAAGCGTACATATTTCAAGAGTTTGCTGAAGGTCTACTATCGTGTGTTTGCTGAATCTTTACAAACGTTCATCTTTTGAAAGTTTCGACGGCCGTTGTGCTACAAAGTAAATCTACAGAGTTGTAAACCTCGGCGGCCGTTGTGCCACAAAGTAAATCTATCGAGATGTGAAGCTCGGCGCCGCCGTTTCATCATGACTTGTGATATTTTCGGCACCGGACAAACAAACAGTTTAGATCTATGTTATTTATTTGCAAAATTTTATAAATAGCCCACAGTAGCTCCACTCAAGTGACTGACATCAACGCACTCGACCAAATTACTGCACTTATTGATACAGACCATACGATATCACTAGCCTTCAAGGCTTTTTCATAATTATACACAGTTGAAATAGAGGTTTCGCTGTAAGCAATCCTTACGTTTAATGATGAAATTAATGACCTGTTTCCACATGATCGCTACCATCGCTGTGATCGCTGATATCGCTGAGGAAAAAAAATTCAGCGATCGTAGCGATCATAGCGATCATATGAAACCACTCTCCAGCGACCGCAGTGATAGCAGCGACAACAATCGCTGAGATGTAAAAGCTCGATCGCAGCGATCGTTGTCGCTGCAATCGCTGGGGAGTGGTTTCCGTATGATCACTGAACTTTTTTTTCTCAGCGATCGCAGCGATCACAGCGATCGTAGCGATCATATGGAAACCGGGCTTAATCTATCGCAATAACCATCCACCCTTCCTCCTTAACTGCTACCTGTACGCCATACAAACATATCGAACGCACTCTTTTAAGCTCCGATTACTCCTAGTATAGTCTAATAAACGTGAACTGACACGTGTAAGGAACCAAAAATAACGCCCTGGTTGACACTTTTAGTGTTGGTTAGTTTCTGTAGCAAGGTGACGTGTACCCTAACCTGCACTTGTGACCAGGTCCTGTAATCAGCGTTTTGTACCTGCCACGCGATGGATAAAAACAATCAACGCTGTAAACTTTCTATGGGTAAATGCAAATGAGACCATAGACCGACGCAAGCAACAGCGAGAGGTCAAGAACCTGGATTAGTTCAAATGAGCAAAACAATTTTACACGTACGTGCGTCGCACTTTTCTGTATATTCTTCAGGCCATTGCAAGACTAGGAAGTGAAACTTCCTAATCTAATTTTATGACCGACACAAGGAAAAAAAATTTCTTTCTTTCTTTTTCTGAACTTGGATACAATCCTTTAGAATTTTACTCGATAAAAATTCGCCAATGTTTGAAAAATTGCGCAGCCAATTTCACATCGTAGTACTTTTTTTGCGTCCCTTAAAATAATGCCTACGTTTCGCACGCTCTGTTGCGCGCAGATTGGTCAAATTGAGTTTCAAATTATTTTCATATGGCGGTAAACTGGCCATTAAAGATCCGAATAACATTAAAGAAAAAACTCGTGATAGATTATAGGACTCCTTGTAGTCCGTTATCCCACAAGTATTAATTGACCCATGAAAAAGTGAGGGGATAGAAATTTTTTAAGTATGTCCGTTTATTGCTTCTAATGTATAGATTTAGCCAGGGCTAAAAGCGAAGCTTCCGTTTATTTACTTCTAAAAAAAAACAGATCACATCAAACTTTTACTTAAAGCCATGACAAAAAATTCAAAGAAATATTCAAATCCCTACTTAGCATTTGGAGTCCTTCATTTACTATTTGAGGAAGGATTTCAGTTGATTAAAAGAGAATATCCCTCAAATACATCTGAAATGAATAGACTCTCACATCGGGATCAAAGTATTCTGTTATACCAAACCTGAAAGTGAACTCAGCTTTACATTTCAAAACAGTCTTAAACAGTCCCCCTTGTTGGATTTGGGTGGGGATCTTAAAAGTTCTCGACCATTAAAGTTTCGAATTGATTGAATATCATTTCTAATTAGATATTATTGCATATTTTTGGATTGGAATTAAAATTTGTTCAAAAGGACAGAACAGTTGATTGAAATGTTGATTTTAGGAGGCAAAACTAAAATTATTCGAAGCAACATTTACAAACCAACAGTCATTAGCTAGCTTAAGGTATAAAAGTGAAAATTTGTTCTAAGTCGTTTTCATTAATTCCGTGCGCTTTAATTGTTTACATCAACTTTTTGTAGTTGCATACGCTGATCACGCAATCACAATGTTTTTTTTTTTAAATAGTTTTGATCCCAAAACTGCACATTTTGCTTTACCCGTTTGTTCGACGATCAAAGCAGTAGTTTTTTTTTTTTTAACCAAAGTTGCTGTCTCAATTAAATCTATTAATTCTTATTATGCTTCTTCTTGAAATACGGGGAGAGAAAGTTTGAAAGTTGAATTGTTTTCTCAGTTTTCTTCCCCATATTGGGAGAGTTGTGACACAATAAGGGCAGAAATATATTCACTGATTTCCGAAAAGCAAATGAGCCAGTGGAGTGGAAGGTTATTTAAATATACCCACCAAAAAATTCTAGCAAAAAGCACAAGAAAAAATTCTTACAGCGAAACCGGTTGTTCGTTTGCGCGCCACTTTGCAATATTGTCACGCAATGTTGGTATTTTGATTGGCAGTTTGCTTCGAGCAAGTTGCGATTCAAATTTCAATTTGCTGCCTGAGCAAACGGTTTTTCTGATTGGAATATTGTGAGTTGACTGCGATGGCAAGCAACATTACCTCTGTTTCAAAGAGGGAAAAAGTAATTTCCCTCTGATCGTCGGGCTATCGAAATAAATAAATATGCTCAAGGCTTCATCTTTCACATCCAACCGTCTTCAATATCCTTTCAAAGTTCCTGCAAAATTTGGACGGCGGCTCCGGGAAAACCAGGATGGAAAGAACGCACAGTCGCTACTCCAAATGTGGTGGAATTTGTGGAGTATTGCAAGGTTTTTAAACCAAGCACACGAACTTTTGAAATACAGCAGGGCTTTCTTGCCAACGCCATATGTACTCCAGCTAATCTCCCCGCTCGCTCAACAATATCCGATATTGTAAGACAGGACTTGCAATTCACATGGAAAAAACGTTCCGTCCATCCTGTAGAATCTTTAACTCATGAAAATCTTCTGAAAACTTTGAACTATATTATGTATATGTCGGGAGTTGATCCCTCTACGGTTGGTTTTTTTGACGAAACCTCGGTCGTGAAAACAACGCCAAATCGGAGTTACGGATACAGCAAGAGAGGCCTTCCAGCAGTTGAAATCCAACGGTACGCCTCGAACTGTAACTACACTGTAAACCTTCTCCATAGCCGTTTTTTTATTGATAACTTTAATATTTTGGAAGGCCCTTCTAATGGATTTGAAATGATTCATTTCTTCGAAGAAAGTTTACAAGCTGTAGACCATGTGGGGAATCCAGTCTTGGCGAATGGAGATGTTATTGTAATGGATAACTGCGGCTTTCACGACGGAGTTTTCGCGGAAAACCAGTTGCGCTTAATGCTAAGAAATCACGGAGTTGAATTAATTTTTCAGCCCCCTTATAGTCCTGAGTTTAATTCTTGTGAGTTTTGTTTTAGGTCGATAAAAGCATATTTGAGGCAACACGAACAGTTTTCAATTAACTTCACAGAACTTGCGATTATTCAAGGTTTGCAAACAATCACGCCAGCTATTTCGCAGAACATTTTCAGTCATTGTGGATTTGTCATTTTAAAGTTACTTTCTGTCCAAAGCCTCGTGAATTCCACACAATGGAGAGTTATTATGTTGTAAATTTATAGTATAAAAATAAAGTTCATAATTTTTTTGAACGGGTCCAAATACCGGACAGTGGGAACGTATACACAAACACCTTTTTAGTACACACAAATGTCAAATAAAAGCAAGATTGTGTTTTTTCACTAATTTAACCAAGCATCAATGTTCTACAGTATTATTTGTAATTTTTATGGAACTGAAATAATATGAAACGCAAGGGTAATTGCGGCAATCATAGAGCAAAACTATGTCGACGAAGGAATATAAACAAGATGAATCGATAGAACTGAACAACAAGCTCTAAAACTACAAACATATATTGCAGTAAACTGTTTTCGTTTGCAACTGTATTTTTTACTTTAATGTTTTTCGTGATTCGTCTATAGCTACAGCGATTGATGCTAACTCAGTTAACGAACAGTTTCCTCCCGTGATGTCTCCTTGTGAAAGTTCCTTAGAGGATCGACAAAGGGAAGAGCCATAGACTGGGGCGCCAGCTCTACCATCCTGGGAGCGGCAACTATATATGCTCTTGCGCCGCTTTTTCTTGTGTCTGCACTTTTTTTATTCTCCGGTTTGCGACGTTTCTTTTTCAGTGCTTTCTCTCTCGATCGGTCGGAGAATTGGAACTGTCCTCACTACTTGATTCGGAACTGCTGCTCCTTGACCTTCTCTGCTTTTGTCTTACAGTGCTACTAATAGGCGATATTGCAAATTGATTTACTGTCACTACTTCTGAATGGACTTTCGACATACTTGTACTTGCCGATGACTCATTACAATTTGACGAATGAATCTGAACTGAAACGGGATTCATTTCCAGAGCCCTCAGCTGTCTTTGTTTTTCAAGTAATTCAAAAACATATTCCTTTCGTCGTCTGCGGCAGAGGGAATCTTGTTGTTGCAGGCTATCCCAAGCGTTGCAATATCTTCTTTGAAGTGCTAATTTTCCTCACGGCGTTCTGGGGGAATATTTTTCTGGAAATGCTTTGAGCAAACGCTGCGTTACGGCAGTAGCAAAAGCCGAAATACTCTTGGACTGGAACGCCTCTAGGTTTTTTTCTCCATGTTTACTTTTTCAATTGCACGAGTGACTTTCTTTAGTTCGCGTTTCCTCTTCTTTATTTCTTCAAAATGCTCACTGTTTCTTTTTTCGACCACACATGAAGTACGAAGTACGAGGAGGCGCGTTATACTTATCATTCTTTTTGTTACCATCACTTCGGTGACCACGAATGTGACAGTTTCCACAAATTGAATTGTAACTTCCAACACGAGGCGGCTCCACAACTTGCAATTCAAGCTCTCGAAGATGGGTTTCAATAGCTAGTTTCTTGTCGCAGAGACTTTGTTGCTGCCAAATCAACTGTTCTTCCTTAGAATCCTTCCAGTTAAAAGTGCTAGCCAGCTCTGATTCATGACAATTATCGGATGGTGTGAAAAGTGTTTTCAGTTCGAGTTTCGATTTCGCGACGCTCGGTTTCGTGTGCTCAGTTTCTTGTGGTAGTGGCTGTGAGCTTCGAGAACTTTTCAGAAGAAATGGTGAGTCACTTTCCCTGACTTTCAGGTGCACTCGCCTGTAAGAGTCAGAACCACAAGGAAATACGTTTCGGACTGTACATCCTTGTGCGAAATCCTGATTTAGTCGTCTGGGATACCTTTGAGAATAGGAACCGCTTTCTTCACTCGCTTTAGTAATTCCGTGAAATCGGTAATTGGGCTTTGTACATTAAAAGTGGTGTACCTGTCTTCAAGGTATTGCAACAGTACCTGAAACATCCCGCTTTTACTTCCACCGCTACAGGCGAAGACCACGACGCAGCAAGTTGAAATTTGAGCTCGCAACTTGCTCGGAGCAAACTGCCAATCAAAATACCAACATTGCGTGACAATATTGCAAAGTGGCGCGCAAACGAACAACCGGTTTCACTGTAACTCTTCGAAAACTTCCAACAATCACCCGGTAGTTGCAGTTTTTTTTTTACAGGCTTAAACGTACAAGTTTCAGAGTGGTCGCCAGAGAAAACCGGGGCAAATTGTTAAAAATCTCAACGAAAGGGGGTCAACAGAATAAGTTCATACTAACATCATAGATAGGTTAGGTGGAGTAGTGGACAAATATAATAAACATAGGTTCTTCACTGCTCTTGTATAAGAGATACGAAGATCACTTTATTCGACCCCCTCGGACGCCATTTTTATGAGCAAATTTTCACCATTTTCTGAACTCACAGAACCCTCACAATTTAACGAGCGAAGTTTATTTTTTGTATGCGATACAAAACATCACATAACTACTTTATAAAACCATAAGATTTGTTAAAGTGGCCACGAACAAGACTTAAATTTTCTTATTTCATCTGACCTAAACTCAGTGTCTGCAAACGAGCAAAAAATCGGGCATATTTGAATTGATCTACAGCGCATAACTAAAACGACAGAACAACTCTGACAGCCAAATTGCAGTTTACTATTATCCATGTAACCAAAACACTGATAATCATTTTAGGCCATTGAAACAGGAAGAAATTAGAAAACTCACATTTGTTATAGTTTCCAAGCTTTTTCTTACAAACAGTCCGATCCCTTCGTGTTTGTTTTTCGTGAATTTTCTTTCATATTTCGCTGTAAAGTAAGTTCAGCAGCTGGAGGACATATCAAAAAGTTCGAAATACTGCCTCGGATACATTTTGAAAGGGTAAAAAGTGCTGAACGATAGGATGAAACTAGAAAATAACAAAGCTACGCCATCTTGAAACTTCAGCACTCAGGAGGGACTGGCATTAGTAGCTGCAAAAGCGATTTGATCACGCGCGTTTCGACCTAGTCTGCTACACAGCCGTTTTTAGTATCGTCACGTAACGCTCCTCCCCAAGAAATTTATTTCTTTGCAAAAAGAAGTCATTGTCCCCAAGAATAGTAACTTTCCATCCTCGCAACATCAGGAATTTACGTGCGTCAACGGTCTACACAGTCTGCACGGTCTACCATCATGTGAGATAAACATAATGATATATCATATTCTTCTTTGTTGGAGAATGATTTACGGCGACTGCTCACTAATTTCAAGGACAAAGACAAACCGGAGGACAGACAGGGAGCAGTATACAAGATCAAATGCTGCGGCTGCCAGGCTCCTTACATTGGTGAAACCGGCAGAAACCTAAGCACACGATTGACCGAACACAAACGAGCGACAAGGAATGATGACGTCAACAATCACATTGCCGAGCACCATTTAAAGACGAAACATCAAATTGACTGGGACTCTGTGACATGTACAGCGTATTCTACAGACTAACATCAACGTCTTACTTTAGAAAGCTGGTTTACTAACTTAAAACTAACGCCACTGAATCGTAGCCAACAGTTACCAGCGCCGTACTAAAGACAAATTGACGAGATCAAGCAAATCAACTACGAGTGAACGACTGGAGAATTGACAATTTGACTAACAATAGACGACTGTTTAACTGTGACAAAAGACGGACCGAAACGCACCAATTACTTATTACGAGTCGTCATAGCCAATAACATCACGGCTTAACTGACAGACGACCAATAACATCGCGACGTAAATGACCAATCAGATCAATAACCAGAGTAGAATATCATCAACTGACGTGATACAACTCACTTTGACTCTGAAGATGACTACCGCACAGGTTGTCGAAACGTCATTCACTGTCAACAACAACAGTCCTATTCAGGACTACGTTCACCCGGACGATCAAACTCAACCTACTTTTGAAATGACTCCTGGGTTCAAACCTTTCACAATGATAGATAACTAATTATTTCTAAAAAAGACTTTTTTTTGTTTTGTTTTTTTTTCTAAAAAAGACTTTTTTAAACGTGAGTAGCTGTCCAAAACTCTCAGAGATATTGGTTTAGAGTTCTAATCTTTAATATAACGAACTGTAAAAGCTAGAACGACCACCCTCCGTGGCTTAATTATATCTAGGACAAAGCAAACTTAAATTACAATATCTTGTCATGACAGACCGTGGATTAATGGTGGCCTGTGAGAAAATAGCAACTAACATAGCACAAAACGTTTCGTGCTCTCTAGCTCTAACGGACTTAAACTACTATCTTATTTTCACTGTAGTAGATGAAAAAAAAATTATTTTACTTTTATAACGGTCAGTTTAAAAATAAGTCACGCGGTGTACCGATTACATTACTGACAGATACAGTGGTGAAAATGAAGGTTTTGCAGCTTTAGGACCTGTTTTCATGAAGGTGGGGGACCCCAGGTAGGTGAGGTAACATGTGGTGGGTTACTCCACCTAACATGTAAACATGATCACATGATGATGATGAACATGATGAACAACAACAACAACAACATAAGCTATTTGCACGACTATAATTATTTAGTTACAGTATTGCAAAAGCTTTAACATAAAGTTACAATTTATGACAATGATAATGCAATGCAATGATTACTACAGTCAATCAAGTATCACCAGCATGATTTGATAGCAAATTACTACGTAAATCATTACATAATGAGACCAATTTCAGCAAATGTGACTTTACGGAAAAATTCTGTGAATTCATCAATTTAATTATTAATTCTGGGTAAGATAGCTTATTAAAGTCGACAAAATTTTGTTGAATTTGATTGTAGAATTTCTCCCTTGGGATTGAGTATTTTGGACAATGGAAGAGAAAATAAAAACTCGTCTTCAATTATACCAGAGTTACAAACAGGGCAGAATCTATCGTTGCGGGAAGTTTGATTATATCTTCCAGTTTCAGTCATGAGTTTGTGGTTACTTATACGAATTTTCGTTAAGTCTTTCCTATTGGCAGAATTTCTAATTAACTCTTGATAACTTGAAATTTTATAATCATGTTTAAATAAGCTGTAAAATTGAAGTTTCTTAGAATGATGAAATGAAAAATGATGAAATGATGAAGTGAGAGATTATATGGACAGGCGGGTTACCCCACCTTAGCGGGTCACCTCACCTACCTGGGGTCCCTCACCTCCTTACTCGCAACTGTAATATCTCTAGATGCCAAGAAAAGACAAAATAGTGCAGTGATTTTCCATTTACACTTTAATGACAACGCCGGAACTTTAAGCCATGTCACGGTAGATAATAGCACGTGCGTTACAACAAAACTACATTATTAAATAAGCCCTTTTTATGCAGTTTGCTATCAATGACAATGATGTATCAGTTCTGAAAAGCAACAGAAAGTGCCATTCTATTTACTTATGTCGCTACAGTCTTCGTTTTGGGGAGTTGAGACTTGGAAATCGCTTTTTGGAGTGAGACTTGAGAAAAAACCAGTTGCAAAAGTACTTGACTAGGCTAGGCGTATTTTGGCATAAATGACCTGTCTATTATCTTGTGCTTGTGACCCCCCTCCACCCCTAAACAAAGTTGCTAGCAATAGAAGACCATGCTCAAAACTTGAAGAAAAAGTACAACTTTGAAAGGGGGGAGGAGGGGGATCAGTGTTATATCTCACAGACCTGTGACTAGCAGCAAAAGCAATTTTAAATCTTACACATGGTGCTGCCCAGCGCGCGCTCGCGTGAGACCTCCGCTACTAGAAATGATTTAGGTTCCATTGCCAAATTAGCAAGTCATAGTGTATCCTGCCGGCATAGCGTGATTGATAGAGAAACTAGTTTTAAAGGGCAGGTAAACAAAACAAAAAAAAGTAACAAAAGTTTCTCGTTCTTGACAGCTTTAACTTCCCTTTTGTTTTTTTTTTGTCATTGGAAAAGTTGGAACAAACAAAAACCACCAGACGAATGATTACTTTCAGCACCAGTTATTATACAATTCTGCGCGTTACTTTTCATAAAACAAGGCATTTATAAAAGACAGGGTCCTACTCATGTGTATTAAGGCTTGACTCAACTACAAATTCAGTGGGTTTTGATTTAAGTAGAAATATTCCTCTCACCTTCGTGAAACTTGGCAACCACGTTCCCTTTCACGTTTACATCCATTTGATAAGCTTTTCTATCTATTGTATCTCTAAGTCACGTGACGGTTAAAATATTTTACTAAACATGGGGAATACTTAGTCAAACTGTATTCGCCTTATTTTGTCGTTTTTCTATGGCTCCTAGTAAGGGCTTTAGAATGCTGCCTTTTAATCATGTCAATGTATTATCGGAAACTGTCAATTAAGTAAAACGGGTCACGTGACTTTTCAAATATACTAATAACTGAAAAGGCAAAGAATGAATTCCGATTTAAACGGCGAAATCATGTTGAGAACGGTTTTAAGGCCATTTTGACATCGAAAAGTTTTGAATATAACACTTCAATTTGAACAAACACGTCAAATGTTTATTCTTCTCAGTTTCACAACTGAAAT